GTATCAAAGTCGACTCTCCGAAGTACTGAGTGTGGGCTCCTGGCGTCTCTCAGTGCATGTGGGCGGGCTTGCGAGCTGGCAGGCTACTGTACGGAGACGTGTAGCCTTATGGGGGGTGGATTGCAAGGCCCCGGTGTCCCACATCGAGAATGGAGGGGGAGTTCCTGGGCTATAAAAGTAAAAACCTGGACCTTTATATAGCATCGAGGCCTTTTCCCGAGTGGTGAGATCCCTATTAGAACTTCCCAGTTAAGCGTGCTTAAGTTAGATTAGTTCTGGGATGGGTGACCCACTAGGAAGAACAAATCCGTACGGGAGTGGTCCAAAACGGACAATATCGATGACATGTGAAGGGTTGGGGCGTTACATTGGAGATTTGAAGATTAAGATTGTTTGGACCCCAAATCTTTACACTATTGTCGTCATTTTTGAAGCCGAAGCTCTGATCGATGATTGCTGGAATAATATTACCGTTGAAGTCATTGGGATTCAAGCTCTGCAATAGTTACTTGAGGCTGAAAGAGCCATCATTGACTTCGCTCGCAATCCACCGGAGAAGAGACTAGTCTTGACCTGATTTAGACAAAAAGCTCTCACAATCATCTAACCCAAGCCCAAATCTTTCACCTCCAGATACCTCAAGTCCTACAGGAATAGGTTGCGACTCCGACGCCTATTTGTCATTCTGGTCACCGTATGTAGCGGCTAAATTTGCCGGCCTTCTTTCTGGCGGCCAGAGGTTGTTGTTGGAAATCACCGCCAGACTGGCTATGTTGTCGGCGGAACCAGAAGTGGAGCCCACTTCGCTCTCACCGAGAGATGAAGAGAGGGTTGATGTTGATGTGGAAGGGCTCAAACTCCTTCTTGTGTCCAACACAAAGATGGGTTCATTGCTCGCAAATCCTTCTTTCTTCCACTTTGCTTTAGAATCAAAACCCACAACTTCCAACATATCATTTCCTTTCAAGTTGTATTGCATTCTTGTCATCTAACAAAACCAAAATCTTTAATAACCAAGCAAAAATTGTGTTTTCTTTTTCCAGATTTGAAATGGGTATTGGGATTTCTATAATGGGTTTTCAAAGATTCAAGCTTGAAACCAAACTCAAGGCCATGAATCTGTCAAAAGACCCAAAGAAAAAATCCAGAGAGCTTAAATTGTCATCTGTTCCCTCCAGCCTTCTTTTTTCTTCCTCTTGATTTTCATTCCCTCTATTATATCATAAGCCTCTGTTTTTCCCTCTTCTTCTTTCTAAATACCACTATCTATCCTCTCTCCCTAAACTTGTTGGTTCTTTTCTTTTCCTTCTTGTTTCTTCCTTCTACTCTCTAAGTAGTACTTTCTGTTCGTACTCTTTTATGTTCTGCCATGGACACGTGTATCACAAAATACCCCAATTCAGCTCGCGTGTATGGCCCATGCGGTTGAGGATGAAATGTTCATTTTGACCTTCGTAGCAGCCTTTCGTGTCATGTAGAATGCACGTGCAATGCTATTTTGTTAATGATTTGGACGGCAGACACAAATTGAACTTGACAAACATATTTTCTTAAAGTTTAGGGATTACAGAAACACAATTAATAGTTAAAGGGATCAAATAGACAAAACACGTATAGTTTATGGGGTAAAAGTGTAATTAACCCTAAATATATATATATATATATATATCTATATAATAAGGAAAGAAGGATTTTGAATTTATGTCAAAAATGTGTGTGAGATACATTTGATCCAATGGTCTAGATCAATTGTAATATCTATCCAATGGCTGAGGTTATACAGAAAACAGAAATTCCCGCCCAACATGGCTGTTTCTCCACTCCTCTCTCAGTATCTGACCTCTGTATCTGATTTGCCTCTCCATCTACCCTCTGTCTACCCACCTTCCCTCTCTATTTCTCTGCTTACCCTCTCTATCTCTCTATTCCTCTTCGTTCTTCTTCTTGATTTTTTTTGAAAATCTCAGCTTTTACCTTCATCACAGCCTTCATCAGAGCTTACACCGTTGTTCAAATCAGAGCTTACACAGAGCTTACACACAGCCTTCATTAGAGTCTTCATCAGAGCTTACACAGAGCCTTCATCAGAGCTTACACCGTTCCACTCTCACCATTGTTCACTCCGGCTCGACATCACTTCGGCTGCTGGGTTAGTTCATCACTTTGGCACTGGGTTAGTTTATCGGCTGCTGGGTTAGATCATCACTTTGCTTATTGTCTGTTGGGTTAGTTCACTCTCACTGTTTCCTGTTTTTAAAAGAAAGTGCTAAGAAAGTGTTGTATGGAAATGCAGAGTTAGCCGTTGGAGAGTTTACCTTCTAAATAGAGCACCAGACTTAAACCATAGCATTCATTCACCATTACTGATACAATAAAAAGTTATTTATTAGTAGTTACATCTCCTAGCAATCTGTCTTTCTAAAATACGCTTAGGTACACAATCACCTACCATAAAAAGTTCGTGATCTTGAGACTCGATTGGGACCCAACTAATATGCCTTCTTTCCGTGCACCAAACAGCAGCATAAAGGCTAAAAAACAGAACACCTGCTGAATTGGGCACTCAAAAGCACTTCCTGAAAACAGAACACCTTCCCCAAGCACTTCCTCACAAAGCTCACTCAGATTTGGATTTGCAGCTCATTCATTTCGATGCTTCCAGACAGACCAAAGTACAATTAACGGAACATCACTCCAAATCTGCCCAAATCTGCAAATCTGCAAATCTGCCCAAATCTGCAAATCTAGATTATATCACTCCAGATCTTCCACTCCATCTTTTTCCTTTTTTTTTGTTGGTAAAAGTGACTTGCTCTTCTATATTAAATTAAAGAAATGATATGCTGAATAGCATCTATAGTTGTCACTATAAATATCAATTAATAATGTAATTGACCATTGTTTGGGGCATAAAAGAAGGATGTATGTAAGCTATGCAAATCCTTCACATGGAAAGGCTATATATATTACAATTGTAAATTGAATATAAATCTATGTAATGGTACAAGATTGATGGTTACTAGGTGCGGCACTCGCATAATTGAAGCTCAAATTTTAACTGGAGAAAAGTTTGGCAATTTGGCATTTATACCAAGGATATCTTTGACACCATTTTCTTCAGAAATGCCTTTCCAAATGACAAGACGTCAATTTCCAGTCCGATTGGCATATGCCTTGACCATTAATAAATCTCAAGGACAATCTGTGAAATTTGTTGGGGTTGATTTGCGTATACCAGTGTTTAGCCATGGGCAATTATATGTGGCATTGTCTAGATGTACATCCTTTGATCGTATAAGTATTCTCCTCCCTAAAGATAATTTGGATTCTACTACAAATATTGTTTATCCTGAAGTATTGCTGTAGTATTCTATGCAGATTAAATGACGTTTTTTTAGAAGGTAACCACGTAGATTTATTTATGTTGATTATATAACTTTTTAAAAAAATTTAATTTAATAATTATTTGAAATTTGGACTTTTGTAGGATTGAACCGAAAAATCCATGGAGCTTAAAAGGAGAAATACGACTACCTTGCTTCGATGGGGATGTAATAAGGTAATTTCAATCTGAAAGTATTTTTACATGTATATTTCCAACAAATGTACTAATTTATATTTTTTTTTTGTTTCTACAAATTACCAGATTGTTGTGCATATTCCTCATTGGGGATACATAAAAGTTGATACAAAGACTTTTTGGAAAGTAATGTGGAGGAAGTTTGGGCAAACGCATATTTGAAGACATGTTATTGACACATCTTTTGTAAAGCATACATATTTTTGGTGTATGAGAATATAATTTTTGGTGTATGACATGTTAGTGACACATCTTTTGTAAAGCTTTAACCCACTTTTTGTAAAGTTTTAACCTACCTTTTTGGTGTATGACAGTATAACTTTATTTCTGTTTTTTATTCAGTGTTTACACTTTTTTTTACTGCCTTTTATATTTTAATATGCAATATAACTTTAAATCTTATATGTGAGTTTCTTAATTTGCATTAAGATTAGGGAGAATTGTTATTTTATTTGAGTTTTGTAGAGCATGTAATACAAGCAAAATTGTTATAAGTTCTTTAAAAAGAAAAATATTTCAATATATTTTTTTAGTATCTATAACAAAAAATGACACAAACTTTATAAATTATAACTACATTTTAATCTTAAAATTATTTACACCGTGCCTTTAGGCACGGGCATACGCTAGTATATATATAAGTGACATGTGTCATATTTTTAGAGTAAAATTATAAATTTACTAAATTCATTGAGTTAAAAATCAACAAATTTAGTAATTATTTTTCGTTAAAAACATTAACGGCATTATTAATTAGATAAAATTGACATAAATTTAAGATTAAAAATTAAAATTGAGCGAATTAAAAATAAAAGAACCAAAATAACAAAAAAAAACAAAATATAAGAACTACTAGTAATGTGCCCAAGAATTTATCATTTCCTTTTATTTCATCCTATTACTAATTATATTTTAGTAGTGGTAAAGACTTTCACACCATTGCATTCAGAGATAAGGATCAGTGGTAAAATGATAAAAATACCCACAAGTAATTACAGTAAACAAAATAGTTAGGAACATAATTAGAACCTTTTATTTCATTCTATTACTAATTATATTTTCAAAAATGCTTTGAACCCCAGTTTTGAAGGATTCCCAATGACCCTTGTGATGTGGCAGCATGTGATTGGTTGAATTTTTTTTTTTTTTTTTTTTGACTTTCTCTTGGTCCACAGCCCCCACGTGGAGGTGGGGTGCTGGGTGCCTCCGTACTGGGGTGCCAATCACTGTTCTTATATTTTAGTAATTGTAATCACTTTCACACCACTGCAGTCAGAGATAAGGATGAGTGGTAAAATGACCAAAACACCCACAAGTAATTACAGTTAACAAAACAGTTAAAAACAGAATTAGTGAAGAAAACAGGGGTATCTCTTGTCATTTCAACAATAAAATAATACCACGTTGTTTCAGTTTTCATATGACTCACAAATCAGTTGTTCAAACTCTGCCAGCGAGAGCCTTGGCGGCTTTTGTATTGACCTCTCTCTCTCTCTTAGTTGTTCATTATATGAATTCCATTTTTTTATTATCCGGGTCGTGTTGGATACTTCAATTGGTAATCTTTCTCTCTCTGTCTACACATGCATTGCTTCGTTTGTCTGTATATGATTGAAGTTTTATTGGCTTCTATATGTTTATTCAAGTTTATTATTGCCTTGACTTGTTCTGTTTCATGTTCTAGGTCCTTCAATAACAAAACCCATCACCATCTCAGATCTATCGAGGTCAGTCGTTAAGTTTCTTCTGGGTTTTTTTTTGAATCGCATTCTTCACTTTCGTAATTCAGTCTAAATTGGGTTTCTGAGTATGTGAGCTTGTGAATTTGTTTCTATTAATTATGAGAATTGGTGGGTTTAGCAATTTTTGCCCGTTTGCAGGAAGTTGTGAGGTTTGTTTGTATAATTCTTCGATTTTAGCGAATTTGATTAGTTTGAATGCCCTCAATTGAAATTTGAATCTTAGTTGGGAGTTTATTGACTCTTTTGGATTAATTGTGAAAAATGTTGCTCAGTTTCTTCTGATTTTTGAATCTAATTATTCACTTTCGCAATTTCATTCATCTAATTACTTGGAAGGTGGAACAGTCTGGATTGGGTTTTTGAGTATTGTGAGCTTGTGAACTGATTTCTATTAATTATGAGAATTGGTGGGTTTAGCAATTCATGCCCGTTTACCACGAAGTTGTGAGGTAGGTTTGTATAATTCTTCACTTTTAGTAAATCTGAATAGTTTGAATGCCCTCAATTGGATCTTAGTTGGGAGTTTATTGACTGTTTTGGATTAGTTGTGAAAAATGTTGCTCAGTTTCTTTTGATTTTTGAATCTTATTATTCACTTTCGCAATTTCATCTAATTACTTGGAAGGTGGCACAGTCTGAATTGGGTTTTTGAGTACTGTGAGCTGTTGAACCTCTTTCTATTAATTATGAGATTTGGTGGGTTTAGGAATTTAGGCCCATTATTAGAAAGGATGAGTTGTAATTACGGGGTTATCACGGTCAGGTTTGTTTATATAATTCTTCAATTTAAGTGAATCTAAATGATTTGATACTCTCAAATTCTCAATTGGAACTTAGTTATGAGTTTATGGATTCTTTTGGATTAACTGTGAAAAATGGTGGGTTTATCTCCATTTAAGTTTTCTTTTTTTGTTATTTGATTAAATATGAAAAATGTTGCTCATTTTCTTCCGGTTTTTAATCTTATTATTCACTTTCGTAATTTCATTTATCTAAATACTTGGAAGGTGGAACGCGCTGAATTGGGTTTTTGAGTACTGTGAGCTTGTGAACTTCATTATGAGAATTGGTGGGTTTAGTAATTTATGCCCATTAGAAATGATGAGTCGTAAATTGTGAGGTTTGTTTGTATAATTCTTCAATTTTAGTGAATCTAAATACTTTGAATACTGTCAATTGGATCTTAGTTATGAGTTTATGTACTCTTTTGTATTAATTATGAAAAAGGGTGTGTTTATCTCCATTAGTAAATGAAAACAGTAAATAAACATTTTTATGTCTTTAATAATATCATCATCATCATTAGTACTATTATTGTTTGTTCTTTTTCTCAATTATTTATTTTTTTAAGGGGCATTTACAGATAAGTCCTAATTTATGAACTTATACTCCATTAAGTCCTAACTAAATTTTTTGGACCTTCGACTCCCATTAAATTTTTAATAATTGGAATTGTCCTTCAAATAATGATTGTTCATCATTTATGATTATTTATAAAGGAACATGATGATTTGACATTTATTTTGATTTTCAAAACCTTAAAAATCAACTTTCAAATTGAAAAAACTAAAAAAAAAATTTGTAAAAAAAAAAAACTAATTTTTTTTGAAAAAATTAAAAAAAACTGAATTATTTTTTTGTGCAAAACTGAAAATTTTGTGTCTATCAAGGAGTATGATGATGGAACATTGATGCGCAAAACTGAAAAAAAAAAACACTTTAAAAATGAAAAAACTAATAATGTTCTCAGTTTTAAAACTGGAAAAACTGTAATATTCTGGATTTTATTAGATAGTTAAGTCAAATCAATAAGTAGAAGGGTAAAAACATTTAATCTCATGCTCTGTTTTTTTCATCAGTTAGTGAAACAATTATTTGGAAGATTTCTATGCAAAATCAATAATGTTCTTAATTTAAAAAATTGGGAAAAACTGATAATATTATCAATTTTACTAAATAGGACTTATTGGTTCAAAGAATGTTAAATAGAATTTTTAGGTAATTAACTTTTTATTTTTATTTTTATTATTATTGATTTTTGGTATTTCCCGCGGGAAATGATGAGATGAGATGTATAGGATTTAATCATCTATGAAAAGTTCTGAGGCCTAATTTATTTTATCAAAAAAATTTAAGGCCTGGCGCGATGTTTCTGTACAGGGGTGTGTCTAACCCAAGGTTTTCAAATTAAATGTTATTTTTTTGAACTTGTTTATTGTTTTCTTGATTAACAGGAGTGTGGGTTCTGGAAGGCTACATGAGATTCCAAATCTCATGGAACTTTTATAGAACTTGAGTGAGGGGGACAGAGAACAATATTGGTTTATGTGAAAGTTGAAGATCTGTATTGAGTTTATTGAAGAGGAGCAATCTGGGATTATGTTCTCTATCCAGAAATGGAAGTGCTCATGGTCTTTGGTGCTAACCGTTGCTTCAATTTTGGCATTGGCTTCAGTAGTTCATCTATTCTTGTTTCCCAGTTTGCCATCATTTGAGTACTTCAGTGCTAGGCAAGTTCAAAATGCCTGTGTCTCAATAAATGGATCAATTAAAGGAGGCAAGAATGATGTTTTGCAAAATCCACAGCCTTTTATTAACTTGGATGTACGGTTTCCAGCTGACTTGCATAAGGCAGTGGTTTACCGTGGTGCTCCTTGGAAGGCTGAGATTGGCAGGTGGTTATCTGGTTGTAATTCAGTTGCTAAAGCAGTCAAAGTGTTTGAGGTAGTGGGCTCGTGATTTTTTAAGTTGATTTTCTTCACTTCATTTTTTAGCAGGTTTAATTTTTCAAATATTGGATTCATAAAAGCTTTTCACATTTCTATTTTAATTCATTGTCTTTTGGGACGAAGCTGAGTTGCCTTTTTAAATTTTGGAGCTCTTCTAAAATTAAGGGTTTAAGTTGAAATTGAATTGACTCTCACTTGTGATACCTTTTTTTGCTTATAATGAGTCGCTCTGTTATCAGATTATCGGTGGTAAGAGCTGCAAAAACGATTGTAGTGGTCAAGGAATTTGTAATCGTGAACTAGGCCAATGTCGCTGCTTTCATGGATTCAGCGGTTAGTATTATTTATCTTAGCCTTCTTTTTGTTATTTAGGTCTTGTTTGAGAAATAATAGTTTTAGCCTAAAAGTTAAAAAGTTACTAAAAAAACCAAAAGGCCTATAATCTATACCAAAAATCAAAGATTCCCTTTTCTCTCTACTTTTTGCATATGTTTTCGTAAAAAACCAAAAAGTAATTCCAAACATACAAATTTTTTACCTCATATTTTAGCCAAAAAATCAAAAGTTAGTAAAATAACCTATTCCCAAACGAGGCCTTAAATTTCAATTTAAATTCGTATAGAGGCATGCAATTTGCAAGTGGACATTTGGTGCATTTTTATTATCATCTTAACAATGTCTGTGTGATGTGTTTTACGAATGAACCATAATCATCTCTACAAACATACTAATTAAATGCTACCCTTTCAAAGGGTAAAAAAAAAATATATAGAGAGACTCAACTGAAGTTGCTTTATTTGGGGGTACTTTTACAATTGATAATACTTTCTTTCAAGTTGCTTGCAAGGTGTTAGTGGTATTTACTCACATCAATTCACATCTGATGGTGCTTTTGCAAATGATAACTACCACTTTTATTTGATTGCCCAATGTTATGAGCTTTTGTGTTAGAATATGAAGAGCCGTTTGGTGGATAATTCTGGAACTTTGGTTTCAGAGGCCAATGGATAAAGAGAAAAAAGATGTGGAATTTGAGGCCAATGGCCATTTTGTGTGTTTGTATGTCATTAAGGTGAAGGATACACATCTGAAGAGCGGGTGACATGGAAGGGTTGTCTTGAAAGGAGAAAAGGGGGAGTGAAGGGAGATGCTAATGGATTATTTTTAAATGAAGTGGTCATCCATGTTTCGTTTTTTGGAATTGAAATACACTATTTTGGAAAGCTTGAGGGATTTATGTAGTGGTATCAACTTTCAACTGAGATAGGAGAGTGGGGTGAGTAACAATAATAAGAAAGGTATCTGAAAGGGATTGTTGGAGATGGGTCTGATTCAGTTTTGTCAAATTATAGATTATGGTATATCCCTATTGTATTTTGGTATTTTTTTTTTAAAGTTTAGTTAAGCAATTGGTGGGTGGGGTGTTACATTGCTAATCTTCATCATCTGTCGTTCTTTTGTCTGGCTTGTAAATTTCCTTCCATACTTACTCTTGCATTCAAAAGCAATATTTATATTGTGCAATTTCATTTCAATAACCCCTTTGTCATGGCCATTATTCTTATTCTTGCACTTATATTATGTGTTTCATCATGTGATATATATATATATTTTTTCTGTCATGCTGCTTTTTGATCAGTCATATAATTTGCTGGATAAAATATGTTTAATGGATCAGGGGAAGGGTGCTCTGAAAGATTGCAACTGGACTGCAATTTTCCAGGATCAAAGGAGCAACCATATGGGCGTTGGGTCGTTTCAATATGTGCTGCTCATTGTGACACTACAAGGGCAATGTGTTTCTGCGGCGAAGGTACTAAATACCCAAACCGTCCTGTTGCTGAGGCATGCGGGTTTAAAGTGAAGTAAGCATACTTAAAATCCTAATAGACACTTCTGTTAGAATATGATCTAAACTAAACATTAACAAGCTAATGCCCTGATATCTGTTTCAGCTTACCTTCTGAACCTGAAGGTCCTAAAATGACTGACTGGACAAAACCTGACCTGGATAATATTTTCACAACAAATAGTAGCATTCCTGGATGGTGTAATGTGAACCCAGCAGAAGCATATGCTTCCAAGGTTCGATACAAAGAGGAATGCGATTGCAAATATGATTGTTTGTGGGGGCTATTTTGTGAGGTGCCTGTGCTGTGCACTTGTATTAATCAATGCTCTGGCCATGGACATTGCCGTGGTGGATTTTGTCAGGTAGTAATTATGTATTTAAAACTATTAGAATGTGCAGTATCTAATCTCATCCACTTGAAAAAGGATTTATGCAGCTGACCCACTTAAGTAAGTCACAAGGTTTACTTTGGTTTGGTTTAAGTAAATATGAACATCATTGACAGGTGCTAGAAGAGGCACTACCTTGTATAAATGCATATATGAAACAAGAACCTATAATCTTCTTTACCAAATGAAGGAATCCATGTTCAGTACAAATTTCAAAAAGTCCTCTGTCCTGTGAAGTATTTCTAGAAAGGAATTGTTTCATTATTGTTTTTATATTGGATCTCGATACTCCTCGAATAGTGACTGATATGAATCTAATACTTCCTAAATATTCGTAATTTAAAAAAAATTAATTCTCTTTAATTTTGAGAAGTAATGGATTTGTTTTTGGATGCTCTAGGTTGCTTATCCAATCCATTTTGGAGTTAAATGTGTGCACGATTAGAGTATAATTTTAGGGAAAATACAAGAATAGTTTCCAATACCTTGCATAATTAGATTAAAACTTGTCAAATTTGCTCCAAATTCGTGTCTAAAATTATTTTATTTTCTTCTTCTTTAGTGTGACAATGGCTGGTATGGAATAGATTGCAGCATACCATCTGTTTTATCAGTTATAAGGGATTGGCCTCAATGGCTTCGACCAGCTCAGGTTGATGTTCCTGACAGTCCGCAACACGTTGGGAATCTTCTCAATCTCAATGCTGTGGTGGAAAAGAAAAGGCCCCTTATATATGTTTATGATTTGCCCCCCGAGTTCAATAGTCTTTTGCTTGAGGTCAGTATGTGCAATACTTGTGAATTGTCATTCATGATACACAAAAAGGGTGAGTTTTAATATTTTCCATCTGTTTATTCATTCTGGCAGGGACGGCATTTCAAGTTTGAGTGTATAAACAGAATATATGATGAGAATAATGTTACACTGTGGACAGATCAGCTGTATGGTTCACAGGTATCACTTGACCCAAGAGTGACATCAGTTTCACAGATGGGACACATATGTCAGACAACGGGTGGGCTCCACATATGATGGACCCCCATATGTGGGAGGGACTCACCCTTTGTCTTACATCTATGTCCTATTTTTTGTGTTCATAGCACAACTGTATTGAAATAGCTAATAATTTGTGGTCTTTATTTGCAGATGGCATTCTATGAAAGTATCCTAGCTAGCTCCCATCGAACACTAAATGGCGAAGAAGCAGATTTTTTCTTTGTTCCTGTTCTTGATTCATGCATTATAACTCGTGCTGATGATGCACCCTACTTGAGCATGGAGGTACAGAAGCATGCATGGGCAGTGATTTCTTATGCCGTTTAGTGTGATGCATTGGAGCAACTGGATGATTTACATTTCCTTTTTGAGTTATAATGAATCTTGCTGCATTACTTGAAGCCATCAAAAGTCATGGCACCAAAACATGAAGCTCTCAGTCTAGCCTTTGTAATTTCAGTTTTTCCATGTTCAACCTTAGCCTTCCGTCTTGAACCTTCAATTAGAACTACTCATCATAAATCATCTTTCCTCAAATGTTCCCATTTTGGGTTGGTTTCATGAGCCCCTTTTCACCATTTTCTTTAGTCTAGACTACCCTGTACAGAGTAAGGTCTCATGTCTTTTCTCACTCCCCAGAAACAGCATCTCTTCGGCTTTCTTTTACTCCTTAAAACACGATGACATTCAACTGATTAACTCCTTATTGGTTCATTTGTTGGCATCCCCTCATCTTGTCATCACTTGGAATATCTAATTTTCTTGTGGCTACATTTATGCCTTGTTCTATCTTTGTTGTGCAACTCATCCATATTGTATTCTTATTTTCTTCATATCTGTAGTAGTTGTGAGTGTTTGTGCATCTCAATTGACTTGCCAAGATCTCACGATCTGTTTGAGTTGCCTGTTTTGTCCTGTTAAAGCTTTCTTATTTGCAACCACAAATTTAATTTTCCCTATTGTTGTTTTTATAATTCTTACTTTAGCTGATGATACATGTTCAATTCATGTTTTATTTTATCCCCTTTCAGTAGATTCAACCAGGCCTATGTTCTACTGCCACTATCGTAGGGAACCCTCAATGTTTTTGAAACTTCATAACAGTTCCTTTTTTAGTTGAAGAGGTCTCTGTCTGTAACTGAGTATGTTTACTTTATTCTGAGATCATCAGCCCTTTACTTGGCAAAAAAATTGAGAAAAGGAAGATCGGGACCTATTTTGTATTTTATAATTATCATCTTTTAAGCCCCTCTCGTCCTGCGGACCACATCATATTACCTTCTTCGTCAGTTGGGCATTTGGGTCACCTTGTACAAACAATTTCTTGTAATCAAGGTTATAAATGAAAGAAATAAAGAAAAGAAGTGATCTCCTAAGCAGGATGTTAACAAGAAAGCAAAATAGAAAATAAAAAAAGGATTGACCGTTTGTCAAAAACATGCTATATTTTATGTTTTTGTAATTTGTCTCCCTCTTCGATCATGTGCTAATTACTTAATTGTAATATTTATACCTCTTTAAATTTCAGGAACACAAGGGCTTAAGGAGCTCTCTAACTCTGGAATTTTATAAGAAGGCATATAATCACATTGTGGAGCAATATCATTACTGGAACCGCTCGTCAGGAAGAGACCATATTTGGGTATGAATATTATATGGCTAAACAACTTCACTTATTGACGGTGTGGAAACAACATTACAACAGTTTGTGGTGTGTATGCTAATGTTTTTGCTTTATCTCAAGGCAGTCCTTTTCATGGGATGAAGGTGCTTGCTATGCCCCTAAGGAGATATGGAATAGCATGATGTTGGTCCACTGGGGTAATACAAATTCAAAGCATAACCACTCGACTACAGCATATTGGGCTGACAACTGGGACCAGATCTCTTCTGATAGACGGGGCAACCATCCATGCTTTGACCCAGATAAAGATCTTGTCCTTCCGGCATGGAAAAGACCTGATGTTAATGCCATGAACTCAAAACTTTGGGCTAGGTTTGTACCTCATTACAGACATTGTTGGTTTTGGCAGTTTTGTTGTTTGATGTACACTGTAACCCTAGCATACACTGGAAATGGTTAATTGAATGTTACTTCCACAGGCCCCGTGAGAAGCGGAAGACATTGTTTTACTTCAATGGAAATCTAGGACCAGCTTATGAAAATGGAAGACCAGAAGCCACGTAAGTAAACTAAAGGGTTATTTGAAAGCCTTAAACATGTCTTTGTCCTTTTCAACTTATGGTTATGCGGCAGTGTTTCGAGGTATATGTTGAATCCATGTTTTCCCCAATGTTTAAGAAACATGTTACAAGAGGTTCAGACACATGAGTTTTTACTTGTTAGCTACCAGCATCCTCAACAACCTTAAAGATACATATTACACTTTGGAATTTCAATAAGATATAATTGATTAGATTATTGGCATCATTCAGGTATAGTATGGGTATCAGGCAGAAAGTGGCAGAAGAGTTTGGATCAAGTCCTAACAAGGAAGGAAAGCTTGGGACACAGCATGCCGAAGATGTGATTGTGACCCCACTACGTTCTGATAATTATCATGAGGATTTGGCAAGTTCTGTTTTTTGTGGGGTCATGCCTGGAGATGGGTGGAGTGGTCGAATGGAAGATAGTATTTTGCAAGGCTGCATTCCCGTGGTCATTCAGGTTGTAATATTCTCCCCCTGCCAACTTCAAGCTTGTGGATATTGATGTTTGTGTCTGATTAAGCTCATTATAAGCTGTAAACTGCTTCCAGTTTATGGTATGTGGTGAGCATCTTACAACTTTCTGCTCATGAATTGGGTTTCAACGACCAATCCAAACCAAACTAAGCCTTGTGTCCCAATCAAGTGGGGTCGGCTACATGAATCATTTTTCGCCATTTTGCTCTACCAAGGGCTATATACTCAGTTAAATTAAATAAATTCATATGTTCTTTTCACTACCACATCTCTTGTCAACTTAAGTCTTTCCCTGATCATATCACTCTTCCCTACTATTGCATTTATAGGTCTTCATTGTACATAACATGACCAAACCATCTTAACATGTTCTCTGTCAATTTATCTTCAATAAGTACTACTCTCATGAATATATTCAATTCTAATTCTATCTTTCCTAGTCTTATAATACATTCATCTAAGCATTCTCATTTCAACTAACTCATTTTTATTTTATAGGATGTTTTTTAATTTCCTTCACTAATAAAAAATCAGAAGCACCATCAAGTTGGTTTGTTTGGAAATATCCCAGTTGAATACCACCATCCTGTCATATTCTATATATTAATATGTTTTTTTCAATTGGTTTTGTATTTAGGATGGGATTTACCTACCATATGAGAACGTGCTCAACTATGAAAGCTTTTCTGTTCGGATACGTGAAGATGAAATTCCAGATTTGATAAAAATTCTGAGGGTAATTTCTTAGTTTTGTTTCTCAATATTAATGAAACACGTTCTAGTTAGAAGTTCACAAAATTTGAATGACATGTGAGCTTTGCTTCCTGAAGGGATTCAATGAGACAGAAATAGAGTTCAGATTGGCGAATGTACGGAAGATCTGGCAGCGGTTCTTATATCGTGATTCATTTTTGCTCGAGGCTGAGCGGCAGAAAACTGCATCTGGACGGGTGGATGATTGGGCTACAATGTTTTTGCAGCTAGTTGAAGATGATGTCGTTGCCACAATCATACAGGTACACCTTATACAATCCTTTTCATGCCTAAAGCTGATTTAAACATTAACATTTTTACCAGGAACCATTATGCATGCCCATTGGTTTTATCAGCCCATATTTTTGAAGATTTGTGTTCATAAGATTTTAATTGAGTAATGTTTTTAGTCAAGTGGAGTGAGTGACAGAAATGCCTACAACAATAGATTAGTGGAATAAATTTCTTCTTATATTTTTGTTTTACCGAACTTAGTGAATGCAAGGATTTTTATGACTTTTAGTTGGAAGAGGACATTGACTTCAACCATCCCGAGCCCCTTTAGGATTGATCATTGGGGATGTTTGGGCACATGCCCTGCACACTGGTTGCTAAATTTTTGCACAAAAATCATGAGAAAGTAGTTATTTTCTTGAGGATTTCCTTCCTTATAAGTTCAAGTTTGTGTGCTTTTCCACAAATGCCCTAAAAATCAATAAATTCTCCAAATTCAGTCCAAACTCCCTTCAGTGCCCTGTTGACAAAATTTGTTTGACAAAAATTGATGCTATTCAGAATTTTGTAAAACTAACATATAAAGTGAATCTCGCTATTTTACAGCAATGTTCTTGAGTTTGAATGCGTGCCTTGTCTCTTTTGGGATTGTTAGTTCTTCAATCTTTAGCCGATGAATTTGAACTCTGCTTTCTTTCCAACAAGGTTTTACACTACAAGTTGCATAATGACCCTTGGAGGCGACAACTTGCTCATCATACTAAGGAGTTCGGATTACCAGGACAATGCTTGATAAGAACCGATTGAAGAGTTGTAACATCTAACTTGAAGAGATCACAAAAACTCGGGGGCATTTTGGTAGGAAGAAGCAAACACTTGAAGATGCTCAGCCTCGTTGACAAGAGAATTCAATTTTAAGCGACCATTAAACAATTTTATAGAAAGCAGCATCCGAAGAACCGTAGTTTCCAATGGGATCTCTAGCCAATTTTACCAAACAGAAGAAGAGGAAAGTGTCAATATTTTGTTTATTTTTTGCAATTTGTATACATGATATGAATTTTTGTGCTCTTAGATATTGTTTAGAATGGAAAAGATAAATTTCACAGAACAATTTCTTCATTGGTTGTTTGTTTATTTGGCAGATCTCCCATCTTTACAAAGAAAATCAAAATTTAGAATGTTTGTTCATACCATGATAGTGAAACTTCATTTTTTTCTGTTTTGAGTGAATGAAACACTGATGATATTATTTACTGTTTTGTTATTTTCATGCAAACATCTTAATTAAATTCACAAGCAGGTGTATAATTTGAGACATGTATATAAAATAGAATTGTGTGTGCATGAATCTATATATATGATGTTGAACACTTTCAATGTTCTTGTTGTTTTCAACGTCTTCTACTCTTTCATGTATGCTGGTAAGATAGAGATATTGTAATTGCATGTAATATGTACCCAACCAGCAAACCTAATCCATTAAATATAATTAGTTTGTCAATTTTTCTTTAAACTATAGGGATAAAATAATAAAATCACTAAATGATACATTAACATTCTTAACTTGGTATATATTTTGGGGAGCCTATACACTCTATTTTTTTTGTTGTTAAACATCCCAATTTTTTTTAAAGAAACATTTAATATTATTTTACACTTAATTTAAATCACCAAAAACAACAAAACCCTAACTTTAGTTCCAATCAATCCTCTTGCAACCTCTTCTTTCACACTCCACGCCTTAGCCCTTTTTCCCACATAAGGGGCGTTAGGATAAGAACGAGCAGGGGGATGACGAGCATTGTGAAGATAAAGGAAGGGCCGCCATTCCTTTTTTATTTGAAAACCACTATTTATTTATGTGGTTTTAAAAGACTTGACTTATCAAAAACAATTTAAATTCATATGTTAATAATATATTTCAAATTAATTTTAACTTATAATATAAAGTAATTTTTAAATTATTATTTTGCATATAAATAATAGTAAAATAATAATACTATATAAATAAAAAAATTATATATAATGATACAACTCATTGTAAATTTATTTATAATTTATAAGTAGTGGATACTTTCATTAGTACCAGCAATTGGTGACCTGTGACGAAAATCTTAGGTTCGAGGGTTCGAAAATCTCAGATAAGCTCATCATTAAATTTTTTATTTTTTAGAGAATCAAAAAAAGAGTAGTTTTTTGATATAAAAATGCTAGAGACTAAGAAACTGACTACAGAAAATATAAAGCACACACATCTATTCTATTATTAAAACTAATCACAAAAGTGAAACATACAATCAATCACATATCCATAGAAACAAATGTAAAATACAGTGAAGATGTTCAGAAATTATGAAAAGCAGACACATTCATATAAAAGAAAACTTACCAAATAGAAACATACGACCAATCACATATCTATAAGATGCTTTCATAGCAAAACTTTCAAAACTTTTGTATGCGAAATATAGTGAAGTTGTTCAGAATTTTTTAGTGAAATCAAAACAAATGCAAAATGCAATGAAGATGTTCAGAATTCAGAACTTCTCAATGAAGATGTTGTAATTGCTTTAGGACTGCACAGCAATAAGGAGACATGGAGAGTGAGAAGTGGGAAAGTGGAATTGGTTGTTTTAATTTATCATTTTACCTCTAATTAAAATTGATATAAGTGTAAAAGTTAAGGTCATTTAAAAACAAAAATTGAAAAAAATTTATAAGGAGTGATTTGATGACACCAAAATTATTGTTCTCTTCTAATAACAGAATAGGTAACGACGCTGTCATATAATTTTTATCAATTTTTTTTGTTTTTTTATAAATTATATGTATATTTAAAAATTTCTTAAGAAAATTCGAAACAAAAAAAGGGAATAAACGTGGACAATACATATACTTTAAATTATTCCAAGCAACATGTTCACATACACACAGCAGTCCACTCCTCTAAATCTCTTTCTCACTGTAAACCCTAGCTCTCTCATCCTCATGTTCACATACACACAGCAGTCCACTCCTCTAAATCTCTTTCTCACTGTAAACCCTAGCTCTCTCATCCCTCATGTTCACATACACACAGCAGTCCACTCCTCTAAATCTCTTTCTCACTGTAAACCCTAGCTCTCTCATCCCTCATGTTCACATACACACAGCAGTCCACTCCTCTAAATCTCTTTCTCACTGTAAACCCTAGCTCTCTCATCCCTCATGTTCACATACACACAGCAGTCCACTCCTCTAAATCTCTTTCTCACTGTAAACCCTAGCTCTCTCATCCCTCATGTTCACATACACACAGCAGTCCACTCCTCTAAATCTCTTTCTCACTGTAAACCCTAGCTCTCTCATCCCTCATGTTCACATACACACAGCAGTCCACTCCTCTAAATCTCTTTCTCACTGTAAACCCTAGCTCTCTCATCCCTCATGTTCACATACACACAGCAGTCCACTCCTCTAAATCTCTTTCTCACTGTAAACCCTAGCTCTCTCATCCCTCATGTTCACATACACACAGCAGTCCACTCCTCTAAATCTCTTTCTCACTGTAAACCCTAGCTCTCTCATCCCTCATGTTCACATACACACAGCAGTCCACTCCTCTAAATCTCTTTCTCACTGTAAACCCTAGCTCTCTCATCCCTCATGTTCACATACACACAGCAGTCCACTCCTCTAAATCTCTTTCTCACTGTAAACCCTAGCTCTCTCATCCCTCATGTTCACATACACACAGCAGTCCACTCCTCTAAATCTCTTTCTCACTGTAAACCCTAGCTCTCTCATCCCTCATGTTCACATACACACAGCAGTCCACTCCTCTAAATCTCTTTCTCACTGTAAACCCTAGCTCTCTCATCCCTCATGTTCACATACACACAGCAGTCCACTCCTCTAAATCTCTTTCTCACTGTAAACCCTAGCTCTCTCATCCCTCATGTTCACATACACACAGCAGTCCACTCCTCTAAATCTCTTTCTCACTGTAAACCCTAGCTCTCTCATCCCTCATGTTCACATACACACAGCAGTCCACTCCTCTAAATCTCTTTCTCACTGTAAACCCTAGCTCTCTCATCCCTCATGTTCACATACACACAGCAGTCCACTCCTCTAAATCTCTTTCTCACTGTAAACCCTAGCTCTCTCATCCCTCATGTTCACATACACACAGCAGTCCACTCCTCTAAATCTCTTTCTCACTGTAAACCCTAGCTCTCTCATCCCTCATGTTCACATACACACAGCAGTCCACTCCTCTAAATCTCTTTCTCACTGTAAACCCTAGCTCTCTCATCCCTCATGTTCACATACACACAGCAGTCCACTCCTCTAAATCTCTTTCTCACTGTAAACCCTAGCTCTCTCATCCCTCATGTTCACATACACACAGCAGTCCACTCCTCTAAATCTCTTTCTCACTGTAAACCCTAGCTCTCTCATCCCTCATGTTCACATACACACAGCAGTCCACTCCTCTAAATCTCTTTCTCACTGTAAACCCTAGCTCTCTCATCCCTCATGTTCACATACACACAGCAGTCCACTCCTCTAAATCTCTTTCTCACTGTAAACCCTAGCTCTCTCATCCCTCATGTTCACATACACACAGCAGTCCACTCCTCTAAATCTCTTTCTCACTGTAAACCCTAGCTCTCTCATCCCTCATGTTCACATACACACAGCAGTCCACTCCTCTAAATCTCTTTCTCACTGTAAACCCTAGCTCTCTCATCCCTCATGTTCACATACACACAGCAGTCCACTCCTCTAAATCTCTTTCTCACTGTAAACCCTAGCTCTCTCATCCCTCATGTTCACATACACACAGCAGTCCACTCCTCTAAATCTCTTTCTCACTGTAAACCCTAGCTCTCTCATCCCTCATGTTCACATACACACAGCAGTCCACTCCTCTAAATCTCTTTCTCACTGTAAACCCTAGCTCTCTCATCCCTCATGTTCACATACACACAGCAGTCCACTCCTCTAAATCTCTTTCTCACTGTAAACCCTAGCTCTCTCATCCCTCATGTTCACATACACACAGCAGTCCACTCCTCTAAATCTCTTTCTCACTGTAAACCCTAGCTCTCTCATCCCTCATGTTCACATACACACAGCAGTCCACTCCTCTAAATCTCTTTCTCACTGTAAACCCTAGCTCTCTCATCCCTCATGTTCACATACACACAGCAGTCCACTCCTCTAAATCTCTTTCTCACTGTAAACCCTAGCTCTCTCATCCCTCATGTTCACATACACACAGCAGTCCACTCCTCTAAATCTCTTTCTCACTGTAAACCCTAGCTCTCTCATCCCTCATGTTCACATACACACAGCAGTCCACTCCTCTAAATCTCTTTCTCACTGTAAACCCTAGCTCTCTCATCCCTCATGTTCACATACACACAGCAGTCCACTCCTCTAAATCTCTTTCTCACTGTAAACCCTAGCTCTCTCATCCCTCATGTTCACATACACACAGCAGTCCACTCCTCTAAATCTCTTTCTCACTGTAAACCCTAGCTCTCTCATCCCTCATGTTCACATACACACAGCAGTCCACTCCTCTAAATCTCTTTCTCACTGTAAACCCTAGCTCTCTCATCCCTCATGTTCACATACACACAGCAGTCCACTCCTCTAAATCTCTTTCTCACTGTAAACCCTAGCTCTCTCATCCCTCATGTTCACATACACACAGCAGTCCACTCCTCTAAATCTCTTTCTCACTGTAAACCCTAGCTCTCTCATCCCTCATGTTCACATACACACAGCAGTCCACTCCTCTAAATCTCTTTCTCACTGTAAACCCTAGCTCTCTCATCCCTCATGTTCACATACACACAGCAGTCCACTCCTCTAAATCTCTTTCTCACTGTAAACCCTAGCTCTCTCATCCCTCATGTTCACATACACACAGCAGTCCACTCCTCTAAATCTCTTTCTCACTGTAAACCCTAGCTCTCTCATCCCTCATGTTCACATACACACAGCAGTCCACTCCTCTAAATCTCTTTCTCACTGTAAACCCTAGCTCTCTCATCCCTCATGTTCACATACACACAGCAGTCCACTCCTCTAAATCTCTTTCTCACTGTAAACCCTAGCTCTCTCATCCCTCATGTTCACATACACACAGCAGTCCACTCCTCTAAATCTCTTTCTCACTGTAAACCCTAGCTCTCTCATCCCTCATGTTCACATACACACAGCAGTCCACTCCTCTAAATCTCTTTCTCACTGTAAACCCTAGCTCTCTCATCCCTCATGTTCACATACACACAGCAGTCCACTCCCATTTTTGTTTTCCATGTATTGGGACCCTACTCGTTCTCAAGGATGCCAAAATGAAACTTGTCTTCACCTGGAAACCCTAGCAATGAATCTTCTCTGTCCTAAAAAAATAGTCCTATTTCTAAGTAGGAAATTACTTGAATGTGATGGTTTACACCTGATGTTTGACCTTCCCCCGCTTGTTGTTTTGTATCAATAATCTAATACATAACAAAAATTAAAGAAAATAATTGAAAAACTATAGATTTGAGTTTGTAATTGTTTCCATTTTCCTCATAGGCTTCCATTCACCATGTGAATTGTATTTTTTCTTTCTTATAAATGTCAGGTGGAATATGAAGTTTTACCGGGGTGGCAATGTGATATTTCGAAGGTGAGAAACTACTCTGATCTTCCAAAGGCTGCACGGGAATACGTGGAAAGGATAGAAGAACTTGTTGGTATTCCCGTCCATTACATAGGCGTCGGGCCTGGGCGTGATGCTCTTATATACAAGTGATATTATTTATGAGGGTTTCTGTACTTCTCATTTGCTAGAATGAAGCTTTTTAATGCTGGAGGTGTATGTCCCCTGTGATTGGGATTAATTTTTGGACAAGGAGATAATTTTTAGTTAGTGGACATGCATTTGTTGTAACAAATGTTAATTCTCAATCTGGGTTACTTTGATAGAGTCGTTATGACTTTGAAATTGAATAACTATGACTTTGAATTTGAATAACTGTGCTGGGCAATAATATAGGGCATTTTGGTATGATACCATGGCTTAGGCTCTGTTTGGTGCAGTTTGTAGGTTTTTTTTTTTTTTTTTAAACAGTAAATCAGTCAATTTTGGAGACACGTCTCTGACCATTGTTGTTTTGGATTTTTCTGGGCCTTATTTGTCAATAGGGTAAATAATTAAAAAGTTAACAATTATTTTAAGTTGTCATATCATTTTTTTAATTTTTTATACATCTCTTAATAAAAAATTAAAAAAATAATTTTCAAACATGCCAAAAATCAATAAAGTTACTATAAAAGTTAACTATTTTTTTTATTTTTGTAAATAATGTTTTGGAAAATTTTAAAAAATCATTAAAAATGTCAATTTTCGGAACACCCAAAATCATGTTATTACAAATGCTGTAGAAGTGTAGAATGATTGTCACTATAGCACTTGTAATTGCATGAAATGTTACTAATTCATATAGAATGATGTTTAATATTATGTGATATTATTTATGTAATTTTTAAAACTAATTATTTAACAAAAAAAATTTATTAAGGCATACAGACTCAATTTTATTATGTCGTTGAAGAATAAAAAATAACTCACTCGAATTTGTGTTACTATTTTATATTGAGCAAGAGTAGCAAGTAAAAATGCTACATTTAGAAGAAAAAAAATATAACTAGTTCTAGAAATTTGAAATAATTATATTAACACTTTGTGGTATCTTCATCGGTAATTTATTAATTATATAAATAAAAAAAATATTATCATTTTTTATGTAAAATATATATTTGATCTTACAAAAATGTTTGAGAGGTCTAAACTAAGAAGTGGGGCCCATTAATAATGTGATGTTTTGGATTTTTTTTATTTTTTCATTACCACATAAGTATAACTCAATTTAGAACTTTACTTTTAGAACTCTCTATTGCCACCCTTGATCTTATTTATCTTTGTATTTGAACATCATCTGTATTAATTTAAAATTACATCAAAATTGAAAACCTTATTTATACTTCTTCCAAAATTTAGGGAAGCAAAAAATATTTTTTTAAAATATTTTTTAGTATAATAGAAAATGAAAGTCAATATAAAATATTTTTCATGATAAATGAAAAACAATTTGGTTTGGGTAGAAAATATTTTTTACTTTTAAAAGGCTGAAAATATTTTTTGGACTAAAAATTTACTAATTTCATCACATCACCTCCACTACCATCACCACAACCATCATCACTATTGCCCCACCACCATGCCATCACAACCACCTTCATTCTACCACCACTACCAAATATAGAAAAATATATTTTTTATTTTTAATAAAAAAAATAAAAAATATTTTCTATCCAAATAAACGGAACTTTATATATACAAGGAGTTTAAAAGGAATTTTGTAGACAAAAAGAAAAGATAAAAAAGAGTGCGGCTATTAGCATCTCATCAGTTATTTTGAATTTTCCATTTCTTTGGACTTCACTTATAAATTTTAAAACCCTTAAAATTTCTTTTATCCCTTAAATAATATCAAAATTATCTTTGTTTTTCACACATTCAATTGAATGCACACTCCACACACCCCAAAAAATATCTCTCCCAAAAACCCTAACAAAACCCATAAAGGTGATTATTATTTCATTTCCACATACTTGAGTGATAAAATAAGGTTTTTAATTTTCAATCCTTAGAATATACCAGCAAAAAATTGGGTTGGGGTTTTTGTGCTTGAGAAAAAGGAGAAGAGTCAAGTGTAATTATTGTCAATTGTCCTAATAAGACTGGTTTAGGTTATGATCTCTGCCGCTTCATTCTTTTCTTCAGTTTGACCATTGTCAGAGTTGGTTGTCTGTTTCCGAACAAATAATAAATGTTCAGGTCTATATTCTCGAATTTAGGTAATATGTTCGAGAGTTCAATCCCCGAAAAAATGATGAATAGTTTTTATTATTTTTGTCATTTTTTTCAATATACTTATTCTTACAAAGTCAATCTCTTTTACGCTAAGAATACCATCAAAATTATGAATATTTTTATGAGCTTTTATTATTGTACTTTTCTTGTCTTACGGAGTTGTGGTTGCTAGAAAAACTTTCACTCATTATCATTACCGAGTAAGTGAAGGTAATCAAATGATTGTCATTATTACCGCTAAAGAGTTTTCAAGATTTTGAGGATGGGTAGGTTTGGAAAGTAAGGTTTGAAGAAGATGGATGGATAGTGATAAAGGTGGGTGCATTCATAAATTATAATCCATGATATAGTGTATGTATTGGCTTAGTATTCGTTTGGGAAATGAGCTGATTTTTTGGCTATTTTTGCCTAAGGCTAAAAAGTCTCATTTTAAAAAGATTTTTTGATTTTTTTGACTATTTGTAAGAGAAAGAATGTATTGATTATGGGTTAGATGTGATATTTTATAGCTAAAAAACTTACTTTGTTTTTTTATGATTAAAATAGTTCTAAACCCAACCCAACCCAACCCAACCATTATTCCCAAACAAAACCTTAATCATGAGACGAGATGCCTCAAAATTATTAATGTTATTTTTAATAATTTTATTTAAAATTATTATTGTAATAAAAAAATCCTAAAAAATGGGATCTAAAAAAATGGGATCCCAAATAATTGATGTCCGCTAATAGCGGCAGTTAAAAAAAAAAAAAAACTGGGAAAATATATAAAAACCTCGCAAAACCCAGTTACCCTCAAAACCTCTCTCTCTCTCTCTCAAAATGGAGAAAGGGAGGAAGAACAGTAGCAAGAATTCATCTGCTATGTGTCTTGAACAGTTCGTCTCCACCATGGCCCCTCTACTCGATCTCGAAAAGGTCCCCTCTTTCTCTCTCTACACACACAAATATGTCATTTTAATCTTAGTCCTACTGGAAATGCACCGAATTCAGGAACTTCCGTTTGCATTTTTATCTTCTGAATCATTGAATTAATCGCTCTCTACTTAGTCCTCCTCAACTCTTTGAGTTTTGTATTTCGAATAAGTGCATTCAATTGTGTAGCCTCTGCTGAGGATTTAGCCCGTTTCGTTTGGAATTAGCTCTTGCCCTGATCGAGAAAACCAGTAATTGTGGTTTTCTCATTATTATCATGTTTGGATGGGTTAAGATAGCAAAACATGTGGAATTGGGATATGGGTCATAGAAAATTTTCTTCCTTTTGTGTTTTGATAGGTTATCTTGTTGGTAAAAAAGTATCCAACCAGTCTGGTTTCTTACCAAATCTCCCCATTTTTTTGGTGGGAAACCAAAGTGGCATGATAAGAGAGTTATCTTTCTCTCAATTTCTTACCCATTCTCACTATTTTTTTAATTTTTTTTTTATATATCTAATTTATAAATCAAACATGAGAAAGAATTATCTTTCTCATCACTTTTTATCATTCTCATCAAATTGCTCAATCCAAATGGGTTAGGGTTTAGTTATTTTAATTAACAATTATGGACTATAAATAGTGAAAAATAGTGCAAGAAGAAGAATACTAAAAGAAATTGCTGACGTGTATAGTGTTGTTTGCATGACTGTATTAGGAAGCTGAGATATCAGCTTCCATGACTTCGGGAGCAACAAGGACTTTGGATGCTTCTCAGAAGAAAGGCTCCACCATTCTCAATTTGAAGTGTGTGGATGCTCAGGTAGTGCATTCTTTATTTTGCTTTATTTTCTCTCTTCCTTTTTTTCTTTTTTCTTTTTTTGGGTTTAAATCATTTAACTTGTTGGGTTGTTTTTCTCTAACTTTGTTGATTTTGTTCTCACCGTAGACAGGATTAATGGGAAAATCTCTTCTCGAGTTTCAGTCTACTAAAGGTGATGTTCTTCCTGCCCACAAGGTGAGTGTCTAATGTCCACTCCTTACTATTTTGATTTTGATATTTATTACATGTTATCATGTGATGTGTGCTACAATATATTGATTTGCCATGTCAAATTAATCATGTTAGTAAGGTTGCTTCTTCAGTTTCGCCACATGTTATGAAGTTGATAATTCTTCCAAGAAACTTTTTCTTCATTTTCATACTTACTGTTTGTTTTTTTGTAACCAATGGAAACTGAAGTTAATAATTTTTCCAAGAAACTTTTTCTTCATTTTCATACTTCAACTGTTTGTGTTTTTGTAACTAATGGAAACTGTAGTTGATAATTAATAATGTATTTTTCTTCTCCTTGCAGTTTGGGATTCATGATGTTGTTGTTTTAAAACCAAACAAAGCTGATCTAGGGTCACCTCCACTGGGTCAAGGTGTGGTTTATCGTCTGAAGGTAATTCTGCCTTCGAAACAGTATATGGGTTATTGCATTTATTGATTTTGGTGGTTATTGTCATGCAATATATATATATATATATTTCATTCTTATTTTCAATTGATTGAGATGTAAATTAGTTTTTATATTGAACAGGACTCATCAATCACTGCTGCTTTTGATGATATCCCGGAGGAGGGTTTAAACAGTCCTTTACGTCTTGAGAAAGTGGCCAATGAGGTATAGCTTTCACAAAAAAATCTATAAAAATATTATATATATATATATATATATTTGCTTAGCATGAAATTAAAATGGTTGAAACTCTAACTAGCCTAACGAAGAATGTTGTGCATCTAAATTGTTTTTGTAGGTGACATACCGTAGGATGAAGGATACATTGATTCAACTAAGTAAAGGAGTGCTTAGGGGACCTGCTGCCGACTTAGTTCCTGTGTTATTTGGAGAGCGACCGCCAACAGTGTCAAAGAAGGATGTTACTTTCTCACTATTTAACACCAACCTTGATCACTCTCAGGTCCTTAAGCTTTTATGTTTCTATTAAAATGCATGCTCTCTCTCTCTCCCTATATATATATATATATGTATTAACACATGTATACGCACACATATATATATTGATATATCGGTGTTGCTATATCCAAAACTATTTAATGTAACATTTAATAGATGGCTTTTTTCTCACACCATATGGCTGTTCTATTTTTCTGTGGAATACTTTTTTTTAACTTGTTGCTTCCAATCGATAATTCATTGCTAAATACTAATGCAATCATCTTTTACCCTTTTGATTATGGATACCCACATGCCTTCCATTGGTTGGGAATTTTTATTGGTTCATAGAGGACAGCAAGTGTGGTTGACGTAAATTTTCTTTGTGGTGCAAGATTGTCTAGATTAATGACGTCCTTGTCCATTTTTATTATAATCTTTTGGGGGTTGAAGACACTAAAATTTCCATGTCCATTTCCCTAATTTAAAAGTTAAAATGGCTAATGTTCATAAGTTTGGCACTGAGAGTATCTAGTAAATCTTACTTGTATAATAGCTTCTCAGCTTGTAGAACTGAAAATGTTAAGTGGTCATGACCATCTATTGGTACTTGAGATGCGCTGTGTTGCAAGAAAGCGCTATAGTTACAATGTTAATTAAAGCAGAGTTTGAGGAGATTGATTAGGTTAATTTGAGAGAATTATATTCCACTCAAAGTGCTTTCAATTTTTCCTTTTCGAGACGCATATGTTGTGCTTCAACTGAATGGGGAAACAATGGTAACAATGTCCTTAGGGATACTTGTACATTTCATGTTAAGTTCATTTAAAATTCTTGACCATGAAATATGCAATGATTTTGAACCTTTTTAGCATCCAATGAGATATAAACAACGCCCAATTAGTACACATTAATGTGTGCTTGGAAGGGGAAAGATTGGGTATACACCTAACTTTTGGCATAGTGCACAAAGTGGTTGTCCCGTGACTTGAACCCATAACCTCAAGGTTATTAGGCCAAGGTTTTACCATTGAACCAATGAGATATGCTAAAGTTAAATGCTTTTGACTAAGGATTTCATTGGGGAGTATGTCTTGCCATGGAGTAGCACTGTAGCAACTTATTCCAATGGAATAATTGGGCATGGAAAGCCAGTGAAATTTTTTGATATATTACAATGATTCCTATATATAGAAGAGAGGATGTGGGAAGAGAATAGGTGAGTGTGTAGTAGGTATGGAGTAGGTGAGTGTAGTAGGTATGGAGTAGGTGAAGTAGGTGAGTGTGTAGTAGGTGGTAGTGGTAGGTGTGTAGTAGGTGAATTTTAACACTTGCCATGGAGTAGCACTGTAGCAACTTATTCCAATGGAATAATTGGGCATGGAAAGCCAGTGAAGTTTAAGATGTTATGGCATTGAAATGAAGTAGCTCTCATATTATGTACTTTTTGTGTCGGAAATCTACTTCATAAACATAGCTAGTATTTACTCTTGTGCATGTATATCTATGTAAATGTGCATCAATATTTGCTTAAACATTGTATTCATTTGTTTTCTAGGCTCATGTCTTCATTTTCATACACTAAAGCAATTTCTCTTTTGCTTCAAGAAAGATGCCATTTCAAAGGCCCTATCATCAAAGAACATATTTTTGTTGCATGGGCCTCCCGGAACTGGAAAAACTACGACTGTGGTGGAAATTATCTTACAAGAAGTGAAACGTGGATCAAAGATTCTTGCTTGTGCTGCTTCAAATATTGCCGTTGACAACATTGTTGAACGACTTGTTCCTCACAGGTATATTGATTTCGTTTCATCATTAGAAAAACCTCTTCAGGTTGATATCATGGGGGACAATCTCATGTAAAGGAATGTTAGTAAATGAAGCTTAGATGGAAGTCCAATAGTCCACTTTTCTAAATTTTAATTAAGCCGTATAGACCTAATTTGATGAGTTCAGAGATCCATGTGTGTTTAAGTAATTCAGTAATTGATATTTCTTTAGCCTTTTCTTTTTTGCCTACACCAATGTCTATTCCTCACATTTAGACAATAGGATTCATATAGCTGGATAGTTGAAAGGATTTTGTGTAACAGACCTTGGAGGTCTGTATTGTTGAGTTAGGCTTTGATATGATATGGCCTAATTCATCTTTTTTAATTGGGCCTCCTTTGTATTAAGGGAAAGTGTTGCTCACTTCACCTGAGAAAGTGTTCTCTTTGATTGTACTCATTGAACCTATGCTTATTGTGTTTGTAAATTCCCATTATTCAAAAATTTTACCTTTAGTTTTGTTGATTTTAGTTGATTATGATTTTCAGTAACCTTATATAAATCTATGCACCTATACAAAACCCGCTGAGCTTGTTAGCTTGAACTTGGCCTAATTCATCTTTTTTAATTGGGCCTCCTTTGTATTAAGGGAAAGTGTTGCTCACTTCACCTGAGAAAGTGTTCTCTTTGATTGTACTCATTGAACCTATGCTTATTGTGTTTGTAAATTCCCATTATTCAAAAATTTTACCTTTAGTTTTGTTGAATTTAGTTGATTATGATTTTCAGTAAACTTATATAAATCTATGCACCTATACAAAACCCGCTGAGCTTGTTAGCTTGAACTTATCAAATGTCAATGCCATTGTGATGTTTGCCAACTACAAGTTCAATGCCATGTTAGGGATTTTCTCTGATCATACACATGCTGACCTGCATTTCTTCATGAAATAGTTTGGCAATAAATTGTGTTACCCACTTTCTTTATCTATTTCTTTAATTAGAGTGAAGTTGGTGAGGGTGGGGCATCCCGCACGTTTGCTACCTCAAGTCTTGGACAGTGCTCTTGATGCACAGGTATTTAAAAATATTTATTTGGTGGGAAAACTTTTTGGATCATGGAATTTTCATGCCTGATAAGATATTGATCCTTTCTATATCATAGATGTAATGGAGATCTCTATCTCATATAATAAAATTGCAATACATCATGAAAATTCAAAATCAACGGTCTGTAACTATCACGCCATGATAAGTTTCAAAACTTTTTTTAACCATTTTTGAATTTAAAATAAAGATGTGTTGATGTGGATCTTTAATAGCCATTAATCATTATGTGATAGTTATAGACCGTTGATTTTGAATTTTCACATAAGTTTTGTAAAAAATAATCTACATTGAAAAACAAAAATAAAGAATAAAGTAATTTTCACATCAAATTTGTAAAGAAAAATAAAGAATAATTTTGTAATCCAATTGGATTTTGAAAAAGCAAAATAAAATAAGTTTTTTGTTTTTTTTGTTGTTTGTGTGTGAATATAATAGCCATTGTTATTGCTTGATTTCAATGATTTGTATGTTTGATTCATGGAATTGTATTTACCTATTCAATTTGTTTCCTTATAGGTTCTACGGGGAGATAATAGTTCTCTTGCAAATGACATCCGCAAGGAAATGAAGGTAAAAGATATAGATAAGTGCTAACCAAGATGATGCTTCACAAAGCCCATTATTTCTTCTTCTTCTTCTTGTTTGATTAACGAATTGTCTTTTTCCCCATAACTTCACTACACATTGATATGTCTTCATTGATCTACAGTAATTTTATGATTATCACATGTAGAAATTTAATGTATAAAGAGAAATAGAGAATTGTATTATTGATTGATTTATATTGATATCAATTACAATGATTCATGATTCCTATATATAGAAGAGGGTGAGTGTGTAGTAGGTAAGGAGTAGGTGAAGTGGAGGTGGTAGTGGTGTAGTGGGTTAGGTTTAGTGGAGTAGGTGAGGTGGTAGTGGTGTAGTGGGTTAGGTTTAGTGGAGTAGGTTTAAGTGGGTGAAGTAGGTGGAGAGTAGGTGGATTTTAACATCACAGTACAATCTTTTTTTCAACTTTGTCCTAATGGATTTGTACAGGCTTTGAATGGGAAGCTTTTGAAGACAAAAGATAAAAATTCAAGGAGGGACATAAGGAGGGAGCTCAAGACTCTTTCTAAAGAAGAGCGTAAAAGGCAAGTGCTAGCTGTTGCAGATGTAATCAAAAGTTCTGATGTGGTGTTGACGACATTGACTGGTGCGTTGTCCCGAAAGTTGGAGGGTACTTCATTTGATTTGGTGATTATTGATGAAGCTGCTCAGGCACTTGAGATAGCATGTTGGATAGCCCTACTAAAGGTAAATAGGAAGACATATCTGACATCTTTCTCTAAATGTGTTTTTACCTGGAAAGGAGCCCCATCATTAATTCCAATACCTGATTTGTTAATACGTGAAACACATTTTAACACTTCATGCATTGGTCTAATATATGAGTTTTCTGTTTTAGGGTTCAAGATGTATACTTGCAGGAGACCACCTCCAGCTTCCTCCAACCATTCAGAGTGTAGAAGCTGAGAAGAAGGGTTTAGGGAGAACCCTCTTTGAACGCCTTGCAGACTTGTATGGTGATGAAGTCATGTCTATGCTCACTGTCCAATACCGCATGCATGAGCTCATAATGACTTGGTCATCTAAAGAGCTTTACAACAGTAAGGTGCTCAGATCATACCCTGATGTTGATTCACATTGTAAAATTTCTTTATTGATGAAGAATGATTGTTCAGTTGTTTTTAGTATTTTTTATGTGATATTCTGCCGCTGTTTTTTTACAGATCGAAGCTCATCCATGTGTTGCTGCACACATGCTGTATGACCTTGAGGGGGTAAAAAAGTCTTCTTCAACCGAACCAACTCTAATTCTCATAGACATAGCTGGGTATGCAGCTGATTTTTGTTGTTTGCCACACAGGCTCAGTTTCACTGGGCAATTGATTAGAGTTTTCTGCATTGAGTTTCAAACCACGTTGAAATTAATCTTTTCTGTTATTTTTAGGTAGAACTTTGAAATGAAATTATACATGCTTTATAAGATTTGAATGCTCAAAATCATATTATCATGGGATGATAATTAGGAGGGGGGAAAAATATCAAATAAAAATAAATAGACTAATAAAATATATTTTAGTAGGTCAAATATATAACATAAGAAACAAATAGTGGGAGTAAAGGTTGATTTTCAAAAGGTGCACAGTAATATTACTGTACACTTTACAATATAATAATATATAAAATACATTATTTACATTAATATATGTACAAATACTCAAAAGATTATAAAAATACACAAAAACATGTAAAGTCATAAAATAAAAATAAATAGACTAATAAAATATATTTTAGTAGGTCAAATATATAACATAAGAAACAAATAGTGGGAGTAAAGGTTGATTTTCAAAAGGTGCACAGTAATATTACTGTACACTTTACAATATAATAATATATAAAATACATTATTTACATTAATATATGTACAAATACTCAAAAGATTATAAAAATACACAAAAACATGTAAAGTCATAAAATAAAAATAAATAGACTAATAAAATATATTTTAGTAGGTCAAATATATAACATAAGAAACAAATAGTGGGAGTAAAGGTTGATTTTCAAAAGGTGCACAGTAATATTACTGTACACTTTACAATATAATAATATATAAAATACATTATTTACATTAATATATGTACAAATACTCAAAAGATTATAAAAATACACAAAAACATGTAAAGTCATAAAATAAAAATAAATAGACTAATAAAATATATTTTAGTAGGTCAAATATATAACATAAGAAACAAATAGTGGGAGTAAAGGTTGATTTTCAAAAGGTGCACAGTAATATTACTGTACACTTTACAATATAATAATATATAAAATACATTATTTACATTAATATATGTACAAATACTCAAAAGATTATAAAAATACACAAAAACATGTAAAGTCATAAAATAAAAATAAATAGACTAATAAAATATATTTTAGTAGGTCAAATATATAACATAAGAAACAAATAGTGGGAGTAAAGGTTGATTTTCAAAAGGTGCACAGTAATATTACTGTACACTTTACAATATAATAATATATAAAATACATTATTTACATTAATATATGTACAAATACTCAAAAGATTATAAAAATACACAAAAACATGTAAAGTCATAAAATAAAAATAAATAGACTAATAAAATATATTTTAGTAGGTCAAATATATAACATAAGAAACAAATAGTGGGAGTAAAGGTTGATTTTCAAAAGGTGCACAGTAATATTACTGTACACTTTACAATATAATAATATATAAAATACATTATTTACATTAATATATGTACAAATACTCAAAAGATTATAAAAATACACAAAAACATGTAAAGTCATAAAATAAAAATAAATAGACTAATAAAATATATTTTAACGGTCCAAATGTGTAAAATAATTTGGCCAAAACGGGGTTTAAAACAATTTGGCTAAAAAGGGTGAAGGTTGGTATTAAAGCTAAAATTCCATCTTCTTGCTAAGAATTTTGTGAGATAACACATTTGTTTTCATCATTGGGTGTTTGGAAGAAGGCGCCAAAGTCTTAGGGCCGGTTAGAATTGGATGTCTATAGATTGTTACTTCACAGAACCTTTTTCGATTATTACAACAATCACTTCTTTCCCGATATTTTCTTTCTTCTTTTTCATTTGGGAAATTTTAATATACACCCCTTTAAAAAAGTTGTACCATGCCATTTTTTTTTAGTTAGGACCAATTTTTTTTTTCCTTTAGTTATAACATTATTTTAGTTATGGTCCATGAGTTCTTTAGTTATGATATATATATATATATTAGTTATAACTCAAAAAATTAAAATTGTACCATTTTTCTTAGTTATAAGGTGCATATGGTGCACGCTCTTCAAAGGGTACGCATCATAATGTTTCCTTTTTCATTTTCTAGAAACAGAGAGCTCTCTTTGTGAGATGGTTTGTCGAAGAAGATAATGATGATGATGAGTTGTGTGTGTGGGTGTGTGTGTGTGTGTTTGCGAATGATGGATTTGTATGTAAAATAATTTGAGAATGAATATTTTAAATAGATAATGGATCATCTGTGTGTGTGGGTGTGTGTTCCCTTCTCTTTGACTTGGAAAACAATTTGAACAAATCATTCCAAAAGGCTCAGATATTTACACAGAGGTTGAAATAGATTCAAAAAGCATTTGATCTGTTCAAAAAAATAAACAGATAAGGCAGATAATCTATGTTATATTTGAGTGTTGGTGGTGGAGAATTCCAATAGATAGAAAAATTAGTTTGTGAATTTCAAACCGATAGGAAAAAATAGGCCTTAAAATATGAGTTTAACAGATAAAACAGCAAGGCTAAAGTTGTTTTCTTAAAATTTACAATTTTATTACAATATTTTGCATTATCTAAAGTAAATGAAAATATTTTATTTTACAAAATTTACTTAGATAATTTGACCTTTACGATTGCATAAGTTTTATAATATTTTATTTTGAAATTTTTTTATTATCAATTTTTTTTTTTTTTTTAACATCTTTGTATTCATGATGTAAAATAGAAGTCTTGGGCGTGGGCTCTCAAAGGAGAAATAGTGCAAGATTCACTAAAACCAACTGTTTGTGTGGGAAAAAAAATCACAATGACTAATCCAAAAAAAAGGGGTAAATTACACAAACACCCTTGAAGTTTCTGTTTAATACAGATCTGCTCTCATATTTAAAAAATTATATTCTCCTCCTTGAGATTTGTAATTTTATTATAAATTACCCCTTTGATTTTTGATGTCATACTTTAAAATTTTTTAAATGTCTACATTTTTTCTTCCTATCATCATGATTATATTCTACAACTTTTCATTCTTAAATTCTACTTGAATATATTCTTATTGAGTGATGATATACAAATATAAATTTTATATAGAATTTTTAAACATAATAATATAGCTTAATGGTGATCTTTCACTTTAAAACAAAACACCCATAAACATGATTTATATTTACAACAATATCACTATTACAATATTTTTATGATATTTTTTTGTATAAAATAAATTTTTATATATGAATATAATTTTTCATTTTTATTTTCACAAACATTTTTCTTTCTCGTCTATTCATTCACATTTATTACAATATTATCAAATATCGTCATTCACGTAAAATCTAACCAACCACCCAGTAAAACTTGAAAGCACAAAAATATAATGCATATATATCCGTTTATACAAAAATAATATCAACAAAAATGTACCCTCGTGGAGTTTTTTAAAATAATTTTTTGAATTTTGAATTTATATTTTTGTATTTTTAATAATTTTTTAAATATTTTAAACAATTTGTTTTTACTTTTTAGATCAATTTAATCTAGATATATTTAAAAGGTATAAAAATTTGTACAAATTTTTTTTAAAAAAATCCATTGAATACAACAAAATAAGATCATATATTGAATTTTATATTTTATATTTTTTTTGTACTTGGTAAATTTTAAAAAAAAAATACAAAATATTATACTTCTTAGGTATATCTATATTAGGTGTATCTAAAAAATAAAATAATTACTTAAAATATTACAAAAAATCAATAAAAATACAAATAATAATAATAATAATAAACTCAATTTTTTTGTGAGTTAAACCAATGAAGATTGTTATTTCCCTTAAGATAACATGAACAAAATATATGCATGTTTATTATTTGATACGTATAAAAGCTAAGGAGTAAATATGTCATTTTAATCAGACATGGAGATAAGTGTAATTTTTCAAATGTGAGTGGGAGATCTGTATTAAACAGAAACCTCAAAGGGTGTCAATGTAATTTATCCCAAAAAAAGAGAGAAAACTTATGGGAAATTTGGCTATAAACCCCTCTTACTTTCCTCTTACTGTTAAACGAACCAAGAAAAAAATTATACTTTTAAAACTCCCTCATAATTATAAAGTCTTGTATAAAGGACAAAATTTATTATTTAAATATTTTATCAGACTATTATACCCTCTCCCTTTTCCAATCTCAGTCAATCTCCCCCATCGCCCGACTAAGAAGCCGCCGCTGATCCTCCGCCGAGTATCTCACCTCCGCTGCCACAACTATCACCGTCGATGACTACAAAACCTCTCATCTTCCCAATCTTTTGCATTATTGTCATGATCGGTTCGTGGTGGCTCACCAATGACAAGGTTGAGAAGAGAGTGCATCACAGGTTGGATTTTTCCACCAAAGGTTAGTTCTCACCGTTGGTTCACCACCGTCCTCGATGTCACATCCACTGCACCATCCTCAAATCTCTCTATCCCTTTCTCTCTTCTCAGATCCACTACACCCAAACCCTCATGTTTTTGCTCTATTCCCCGTGTCATTATGTTGGGAAGGAAAATGATGAAAACGAGTTTCAGAAAGCTAAAAGGCGAGAGATTTAGATTTGAGAGCTTTAGATATAAAGGCAGCAATAGCGCACCAACAGAGTCCTTAGATCTAGTTTGTCATCAATTGGTAGAAGTGGAGAGGGTACAAAATTTAAAATTTTATTTTGAATCATAGTAAATTTTACTCTGATTCAGAGTAAAATTGTACTTTCAGAGTAAAATTTTATTCTGAAATACACTGAGAAAATAGCTTAATAGGAGAGCTGATAGATATGAAGATAGTATAATAAAATAAACAAGTTTTAAAATATTAATCGGTTTTAAAAGTACCTATATAATTCTTATCATTTTGAAAAATAAATTAGATAGTGAGGGATCAACCAACAAATCCCTCAAAAATTATCACCAAAAGGAGTAGTGATTGAGAAGTAAAATAAATTTTAAGTTGAATTTGAATTATAAATTTGGGTAGAAATTTAAAAAGGAAAATAAAAAATATAGATTAAATGTATAGCTCTGTTTGGGGATAGACTATTTTAGTTTAAAAGTAAAAATCTAATAACTCTTTTTATTTTTTTGTACGTCTTTCCATAAAAAATCAAAAAGTCAACTTAATTCCTAAAACACCCCAAGTAAAATATAAATATATTTCATTTGCATTTTTCTCACCTTTTTTCTTTCTTCTTTTAAATTCCTTCTCAAATCTATAATCCAAACAAAGGCTTATAGCAATTACAAAAATATTTTCCGCATTTCAAAGTTTCATATCATGAAATTACTTCAACTTAATTTTGAATACATAAAGCAAAAAGAGAACATGATGAAGTTTAAAAAGGGGAAGCCAAAAACAGAGTATATTTTTACATATGCAACAAACAGACCAAGTTGACAAAATTTCACTTTGACTTTGGGTTCGACTTGGGGCTTCCTTTGCAAATATTCCTCCATTTATCTTTGAGGTCTATTGAGGTTCGACCTTTCTGAAACACATCAACCCCAAATTCCAAAATCCTCTTCCATGGGATAGTTCTATCTTGAACACTTGAAAATCTATTCACACCCTCCTGCAAACAATGGTAATAATTATCAATGCAAAACATTTCCAACAAACATTAATCAAAAGAAGGAAATAAATCAGAATAACAAACCCAAAAGATTGTGCTACTCCTAAATCCATATGAATCCCGAGCAATGAAAGGCCATAAATGTGTGAATCATTTTTTTTTTTTTTTTTGCCTCTAGGTGTAAGGAAAGTTTCCTTATTCTCACCCTTGCAGCAAAGTTACCTTATCCTCACCCTTGCAGTGCTTCCAGATGCCATCTAGGGTAAGAAAAAAAAATATATATATATATATTATTAGCTATGTAGTATCTAGGGTTAGAATCAGTAGGTCCAAGAGCACTGTGGCATGCCTATAATGTAAAATTTTTAGTTTTAAGTCACAGCAGCAAGAGTTAATAAGAGCGGAGACAAACTTCAGAGACGCCCAGTTAATGAGTACGACAATCATATATCCAGACCTACCCTTAGCCCTTAAATGCTAATTGAGAAAGGTTGAATAACACATTCCACTAGAGGAGAATTAATAAAGCGATCAAAAACTTAGACTCAAGTTTAACTCGATCTTGTATGGCCAGTTGCCATTATTTAAATCAACTTTTTTCATCTTTCTTTTTTGTTTTGGTTTACATTATCCCAAAATACTTTCCGTTGTCAAAATTTGACTAGAGAACTATGGAATTAGTGAAATCTGAGATGAAAATACTTTATGACTTCGCCTAGATTGGACATGATGTAATCTTACTCCATCTTGTATGGCCAATTGCCATTATTTAAATCAACTTTTTTCATCTTTCTTTTTTGTTTCGGACTACATTATCCCAAAATACTTCCCGTTCTTTTCAAGGTCCCAGGTGAAGTGGGTAGAGGTGAATGTCAAAATTTGACTAGAGAACTATGGAATTAGTGAAATCTGAGATGAAAACACATTATGACTTCGCCTAGATTGGACATGATGTAATCTTATTACATTGCAGTAATAGCATATATGAATTATTAAGGAAAAAATATACATCATGCCCTCATGGTGCAGAAATATATGCATAAAAAAATATTTAAAAAAAGTACCTTTAGTATGACCTCCTCTGCAGCTGTCCATGGGAGTTTCTTTCGCCTCAACTGAGGAATTGCCGGGTAAGTGCTGCAGATTGGAACAAAGTTCATCCCGTATCAATCAAAATAGCAGCACCCAAATCCAAAATCAGAGTATTCAAAAGACCAAGTGCATACATGAGGATGGGAGAGAACATACAGTTGTTGGACATTCAAATACTTGCAACAAATTAAAGTTGATAAAAAAGCATATCAATTATTTAACAGAAATTTGCCAATTAAGAAGAACATATTAGTGTTTGGATGCTGGTTAGAATAGAGTGATTTACTTTAGCATAGACATGCAGAAAATAAACACCCCTATCATCTACAAATACGACAAACTTACTACTTTTTTTCTTTTCTTCTGAGTGATCTGGAGTAATTAGAAGAGGTCTTATCATTTTCTTCTTCAGAACTTTCCTCTGCATCAGCACTCGGTGGACATGCAGCTTTTTGGGTTGAATCAGTAATCAGTTGTTGTAAAACTTCCTGTTGCTTTCCATCTCCAGCAAGTATCTTGGTCACATCGACAATCTCTGCGTCTCTGCAAGATGGATTATCTTCATGAAGCTTAGAACCAGACCGTTCATCAATCTGATGTGTCTCCGCAAGTGTTCCATCATTTACGGTCACACCACCTTCTCGACAAGATAGATTGCCATTAAAGCCTGATACTGAAGGTTCTGCTTGTTGCTTAGCTTCTACATTTTCCCTGTATTGAGAACTATTGACTTCATTTACATGATTTACTTTAGCATAGACATGCAGAAAATAAACACCCCTATCATCTACAAATACGACAAACTCACTACTTTTTTTCTTTTCTTCTGAGTGATCTGGAGTAATTAGAAGAGGTCTTATCATTTTCTTCTTCAGAACTTTCCTCTGCATCAGCATTCGGTGGACATGCAGCTTTTTGGGTTGAATCAGTAATCGGTTGTTGTAAAACTTCCTGTTGCTTTCCATCTCCAGCAAGTATCTTGGTCACATCGACAATCTCTGCGTCTCTGCAAGATGGATTATCTTCATGAAGCTTAGAACCAGACCGTTCATCAATCTGTTGTGTCTCCGCAAGTGTTCCATCATTTACGGTCACACCACCTTCTCGACAAGATAGATTGCCATTAAAGCCTGATACTGAAGGTTCTGTTTGTTGCTTAGCTTCTACATTTTCCCTGTATTGAGAACTATTGACTTCATTTACATGGTTTCCATTGTAGTTTGTTTGATTGTTTCCATTCACGTTGTCATCTCGTCTCAACTGATTTTGCTGTGGTCTAAGAAATCTCTTACAAAGTTTGTTTGCCCGATGTCCATTCTCCAATCCAATGAAAGCAGCAAGATCTTTCCTAGCTAAAGACGCCTTTTTCTTGACTTCAAAGTACTTCGAAATTGCATGAGAATATGCACAAAAAGGGCAGTAAAATTTCCCACTGTCATCAAAGCTGGGTGCAGAGCTCAAGCACCTCTGATGAACCACTAACGGACACGTGCTTGAACTACAAACCAATAGTTGACCACCTTCATTACACTTCATACAAAGAGTAAGCTCTGTACAGTCAACTGTTGCCAGGGAATCCACACTGAATGTGCACTGAGAGTTCAAGAAAGTACGTTTCTCCATGGCAACATCAACCTTCTCGTCCTGATAACCATCACTATCGCTAGACATTTCTTGTATAGGATTATGTACCATGTCATCTTTGGCACTGTCAGGAAAATAGTTCTGGAAGGATCCATCATTAAGTACACCATTAGATGTATTTAGTTGGGCCTTCTCACACTTATCTCTGGCTTCATCAACACAAATACTTTGATGAGTTTCGTCTGGAGGTGCAGCATTTGATGTTCCCATTTCAGCACAATCCTTGCCATCATCCTTGGCTCCATTAACAGGGAGACCACAATCTGGTCCATCTCCAGATGTACCTAAAGGCACTGTATCGTTGTTACAAGAAATCTGTGGATTAGTACGCCGATCATGATTGTTTTCTGAGAACCTGTTTTCCTTCGAGCCTCCCACTTGAGATAATATGGCCAAATCAGACCCTTCTCTTACAGTATTTTCTCCATCTCTTCTAGATGAATCTTCTGAAAGTTCATTTCCAATTATAGGAACAGACTTCTGACCAACTGCCTCACTGGTACAAGCAGCGCCCCTTTTGAGCTTCTTGGCATTATGCAAACGGGGATCACAACCATTGTCCATATTGATAAGATCTTCATTGGATTTTGCAGACTGATTTTCAGTATCCAAGTCACTCCTATCCCTCTTAGAGGGTAACAAATCTCTATTAGGTGAATCTTCTCGCAAGAGGCCATCCAAATTTTCAGCGGTTGGAGCAGTTAAATTCCCTCCTGCTTCCATAGTTGCACTATCACTGCTCTTCTCAAGTCTCCCTGGGACTGCTGCATTAAGATCATCATCATCCACAGTGATTCTATTTTCAGACTGATTGCCAATTGATAATCCACTCTTTTCCTTCAAGGATGCAAGAATTCGATGGTTTCCTTCAAGAATTGCATCCTTCAGCTGTTTGTCAAGAATGAACATGGGTCAAATCACCAACAATAAATGACAGGGTTTTATATAATAACCTCACAAATTTATACATCAATGAAAGAGATTCCTTTCTACCTGTTGTAAAGTGCTTTTTGGAAAGCAAGCTCTTTTATGCTTAATAAAGTTCTGAACATCCCATTTCAACATCTCTGGTCCATCCATTTTCAGATTTGATGCAGAGATCTGACAAATACATTATACATATGAATATATTATTCAAGAAAACTTAAAAATTTCATATAAGCGAGACATCGTTGAGTTCAAAAAATACTATAGTCGTTCCAAATTTAATTTGTCTCCGCCATTTAAACAAACAATCTAAAGAGCTCAGATAAAACCAGGGGTTACCTCATGCAGTATTTGTCGAACAACATCTTCACAGTGATATGATGAATCAAACTCAATTTTGGAATCTGGGGCAGAAGAAACACCCTTTGTGCTTCCAGTTTGCTGAATGAAAAAACTCTCCAAAATTCTCAAAGAGACCATTTCTCTCGCACTTTTTCCCATATCGTCAGATATTGCTGGAGTCCTTTTAACCAAATCTAAAACAAATAAATAAAATATTTTAAAAAAAGAAAAAGAAAAAGAAGCAAAATCAAAATCAAACCCTATCACTGAGAGTTCAAGAAAGTACGTTTCTCCATGGCAACAAAAGTCACCATTTTTTAAGTAAATTCTTAGATTCACATGTACCAATTAGAATAGATGCATCCACTTCCTTGAAGCTTGCGAGAGCTTCGATGACCCAAAGCCATGGAAGGGTTGAAGAAGAAGAAGCCATGGAGACCACAACTTCAGAATTTTCCAGAGCCAATGATTTGCTTTATCTTTCTTGTTTTGTCATTCCATCAGTGGGCTTCAATTGATGATATTGCCAGAAGAGGACGCAATTTATCTGGAATTGCAGCAAGGGTAAAAAAAATTACAAACTAGACTACACCCTGCTTAATTTCTGCCTATATGTGGCACTGGCAAGCTCAGCCATGCTTCTGCAACTGTCTAAAAGTAGCAACAATACAACCAATATATGGACATGTACGGAAAGAATATACATAAAATCAGCACAAACAAAAAAACAAATTGTGTGAAGAACCGTCAATTTACCATATGGAACTGGAATTTAAATATCTAGCCATGTAGATTCATATGTACAATCAGTGAACAATTACGAAATATTGGGTATTGCAAATCTGGTGTTCAACAGAACTAAGAAACCTACACTGGAAATCTTGGTGGTGAAGTTATGAAGACTTACACTGCTAAACTTGCGGACCTAAACACATGTTGATATTGGTTGAAATTCAAAGAAATTTAAATGAAACTGTTTCATACATTTGCCCTTATATTTCCTGCAATTCATTTAAATCTTTCAAAACAAACCAGAATCAATTTAGCAAACTGATAAATTCATAGTTACATTACAATTAAAAAAAGCATAGAAGCAATTAAAACTTAGAATCCACTAGGGACCCAATTGAATGTGTCTGAATTAGAAACTCGTCAAAAAATTGTTTCCATTTTGCCTAAACACTTTAGCTAGCGTGTACTCCAACAAAACTCTCCATTTTAACTAATTTTCAAAACAAAAAATGCTACATGCACAAAATTAAAAAAGGCAACCTTTTTCATGGAATGTCATTAGGCACCTTTTGCTGACGTGGCTACTGACATGGAATTTGAACAACAATCATATTTTTGTGGGGAAAAAAAAATCTTCAAAAAAATATGTTTTTCAAAATGAATAAAAAAAGGACATATAATAACCGGATGATACACACGAAGCAAAACAAAATACATCAAACCAGATGCACATAAAGCAATATGCAAACACATTCATGTATATTTGATTAATTTATTGCAGGTTTGCTAGAGGAAATCATGTATTCTTTATAAAATTTTAACATTATCTCTCTAGAATAAAAGCAAATTCATGAATTGCATCACTCAAGAAAACATACAGTTCATAAAACTAACATAGCAGTGATCCCAAAACAAAACCCTTCGAAGCAAAGATTGTACTCTCAGCCTGGTGATGAATCAGAGCTTTTAGACCCCATTTTTACAGAGCAAAAATGCCCCAAGAAATCCAATTTTACAGAGCTTGTTGGAATTGCTCTAACAACAAGGACAATGCCAATGTAGTTAAACTGTTACAAGAAACCCTATTCTAATCAAACCCATTAACTAAAATTAAAGAATGGAACTTGGTAAACCCCTTACGAATTGCAATCTTCAATGAATAAAATGGAATTCAACAAAGAAAAAAATTCAAATCAAATCAAACGAGGTGGTTGTGTACGGACATACTCACCGTTCCAATCGAGTCGCCGGGTGTGAGAGAGAGAGAGAGAGAGAGAGAGAGAGGGGTCGATTTTGCAGAGATGAGAATTTGGGGGAGCGACGACGACGACGAGTACGTAAACGGATCGAGTTCGGATCTAACGTGGACGGTCCGAATTTCTTTTGTTCAAATTCAGAATTATTTTACACATAAACTTACACTATATATATTACGGCAATGATTGGTGGTCATAAATTTTGTGAATTAAATGGTCTGAAATATTAAAATATCGACATTTTCGGACCATTTAAACCATAGAATTTGTAGCCACCAAACATTTTTTTATATACTAATCTCTACCGCATACTATTCTAAATATTTTGAGTGGATTAATCTGGATTCCTATATAAATTAATCTCTACCACATACTATCTAGAATTTTTTGAGTGGATTAATCTGGATCCTAAATTAGTTCTTTCTTCTTTTTTTTTATATTTTCATGAATTGGGAAGAAAAAATTTCAATTGGCCTTATATATATATTTATTACTTTTTATTACTTTTTAATTTTTTCTAAATTTGAAGAAAAATATTTTTAATAACTTATTTTGTTAATAAATTTTCATTTGTTTTTGTATTTTTTGAAAAAAAAAATTTGTTGAGAAATTCATTTTTAGGAGGTGTATGGCAATAAGGATTGTTTTGATTAATAAAATTATTTGTTTAGGAATTTAAGTTATTGCTTTTTTTTCTTTTTTTCTTTTTTTATAAACTTGCACATCCACAGGTCATCAAAAAAAGGCGTGCTGGCTCGCGGCAGCTGATGATGGGGTTGATTTGGACTTATGGGTTATTTGAAATGATATAAATAAATATATTTTTAATTTTTTGTAAAAGTATTATGTAAAAAAATAAAAATATGATGTGAATTAAAAAATGTAAAAAAATAAAAAATATGTTAATATAGGCTATCAAATAACCCTTAATATGTGAAATAGTAGACAAAATGACAAATAGAGAATAATATGGTTTTTAAATTATTATTATCTTTATGGCCCAAAAATTGAAGTTATTATTATAAAGTTTTAAGATTGAATTGTTTACCAAAAAAAAATATTGAATTTATGGCCTAAGGGCATCTCCAATAGTTTACTATTTTTTTTTTTATCAAATCTGAGTAAAAAAAATGATTTCCTCAATCTGATATCAGACACTCCAATGGTGTTATCATCAAAACACCAGATGTCCAGGTGGACGACCGGCTGGTCGATCGGCCAGTCTACCGGTAAAAGCATTTCATGAAAAAAAATTTCCCCCTCCATTTCAGTGTTTTCAAGGTTTTCTTCAGTTTCTTTCAAAGAGAAGTTGAAAAAGAGTACAGACCCACCTTGGAAATAGACTTGGCAAAGCACCTCTTCTTGGAAATAGACTTGGCCCACAAAAGCCACCATTTCGGTGATCCCAGTTCTTGAATCTTTTCCCAGAGGGAGCTTGTGGTGTTGGAGGAAGAGTTTGAGCTCATTCGTAATGTTGGGTCTTGAAAGATCGATTGTTTCATAGATGAGGGAGATGTTCTTGTGAGCATGGTAAAGTACTGTATGGTTCTTTGGGGGTGATGTGAAGATGTAGAGAGCAAAAAGATTGGTGGTGAGTATAGAGAAGACCATAAGGACATTTATTGCCGAAGAACTGAGTGTAACCCTTTTGAATCTGGCTGTTTCCTCTTCAATTTTGTGCAGTTAACCGGATGATCGGGTGGACAACGAGGCGGACGTCCAACTAGTCGTCCGGTGGTTCCCAACCCAACGTCTACACACAGTAAATTAATAAACGCTTCTCAAATCCTCAGTTTGGTGAAATATTTGATGTTTTCTTAATTTGATACCATTTTGATGAAACCATTGAAGCACAAAAAGTATATCTTTTTTACCAAATTTGAATTTGGTGATATATCTACTGAACCATTGGAGATGGTCTAAGTTCCTTTTTCCAAATTTGAGGAGAAAAAAATCAATAAGCCTTGCGTAAATGACAAACCAACCATTATATTGTGAATAAAATTTGATAATTTTTTATAATTGTCTTTTTAAACTATATTTCATATATTAAATTTGTTGATTGATTCTCACTTAGTTACAAAAATTTCTTTATTACTTTAAGAAATAACTTAGGGTTCATTCAGTAAATAAGTTAACTTTTTGACTATTTTAACCTGAGACTTAAAAACCTTGTTTGGGAAGAGTTTTTTAGTTTTTTATGAAAAAAAAATGTAATAATTATGAGTTTAATGTGAGGTTTTGTCTTATTGAACTAAAAAAACTTATTTTGTCTTTTTATAACTAAAATAGTTCCAAACCCACCCAACCCTTCTTCCCAAACGAAACCTCACTCCCAAATTTGATCTCTCATTACTCCTTCAATTTTCCGCACTCATATTCTCTCATAATATTATAAATTATGTCCTAATCGTCAGACAAAAAATTTTAAAATAAAATTAGCATTTTGAGTTAGTTGTAAGAGGGACTGTAAATAAAAAAATTATTTATTCTAATTATGCCCTTAATATTTCCTTTTAATCTTAATTGAACAACAATTATCACATGAGTCCAAAACACCCATAGTCTCATGTACATGAATGGCATTTTGTAATTTATCCGCCATGTTCATCGTCTTCAAACCATGTCATGTTATTTTTAATCTCATGTTCATTGTTTTCAAACCATGTCAACATAATCTTCGAAATATATAATAATTAATTTACCTGAGGCTCCTTTAAGAGTTATGTTGATACTAATGCTCTGCCGCACATATCTTAATCCAGATTTTACTGAATTTAGATTCTTACTCTAGCAATAAAATTAGAAAAATCTCAACCATTTGTCAAAGATCCAAAAGTAATTTTTAATCAAAATTACAAAGAGGAATTTCCATTTAACAAGGAGATAACAGCATAGTTCTTGACTTCATAAAAGATAAATTTAGACAAAAATAAGATCTAGTTTTTTAAAATAGGAGGTTGTTTTCGGTTTAATTTTCAAAATCAAATTTTGAAAAATCAAAACTCAAAATTCGCTTAGTTTACAATTTTCTCAAAACATTTTTCAATCACTTTTTCTATCCCATCTCTCTTTGTCTCACATCCTATACATCAATCAATCGTTTTTTCTCTCTTCTCTCACGTTCTCTCACATCCTATACATTAATCAATCACTTTTTCTCTTACGCTCATCTATTCAATTACAAAAATATCCTAAATTACAAAACTCCAAACTAAAAAACTCTAATTGCAAAACTATTTGCAAAATATAAAACCAAATAAATTTTGAAAATAGTTTTCAAAAACTTATCTTTCAAAATTGATTTTAAAACCAAACCAAACCAAACCAATTTTGAAACAACATTTTTTTTTCAAACTTTGGTCCAACTCTCCTCACATTTAATTTCCCTTCCCTTCCCTCCACTTTCCTTTTGAAACTATCAAATTTTTTATTTTCAAAACTTTGGTCCAACCCTCCTCACATTTCATTTTCCTTCCCTTCCCTCCCCTTTCCTTTCCTTTCAGTCCTATTCCCTCTACCAATGGCACGAACGCATCATATGATCTCTCCTCTCCCAATTCTAAATTTCGATTCACAACCTTTTTGCCTTTTAACAAAACATATCTACTGTAATTTTCATTAGACATAAAGTTGATATTTTAGATTAAAAGTACATATAATCTTAATTCTTGTCCCATTTACTCACGAGCAGGTCTGGTCCTGAGATTTTCGAGACCCAAAGCCGATAATCAACTACTAAGGCTTGGTTTGGCATGTCCTAAATAATACAAAAAAAACGAAGTGGTTTTATGCAATCCTACATTTTGGTGAGCATCCTGTCCTAGTTTGGAACAGTGTCTACGGCTCTCGATATGCAACTAAGCCAAATGGTCAAAAAGGGTACCTCAACAAGATTACCTAATATACCTCTCACAAAGGCCTGGTCCTGAGATTTTCGGGACCCAAAGCCGATAATCAACTACTAAATTTCTGGGACCCTTCACATTTTTTTTTATTAAATTGAAAAAAAAATTAAGGTAAAGGACAAAAGATTTATATTAAAATCACAAAAAATACTTAGAAAAAAAATTAATTAATTGAATAGAAAAAAAAAATTTACGTGTGCTTGCTGTGCTGAGATCAAAATATTTTTTTAAATCAAAATTCACTTAACAAAACACAAAACTTTTAAATTATGTGATGTGAACTATTAAACATAAATAAATTCTTCTTAATGATGTAAATACCAATATTATAATAGCAATTAATTGTACAAAAGACAAAATAAATATTTAATTAATTGAATAGAAAATAAATAAATAAATAAAAATTTACCTGTTCTGCTACTCCGTCCCTATGCCACTGGTGTGTGCTATATCAAACAAATGTAGGGAGGCCTCGTTTGGCAAGAGGCTATTTTAGCCAATTAGCCAAAAAGTTACTAAATTAGTCAAAAAGCCAACAACTTAATGATGTAAATACCAATATTATAATAGCAATTAATTGTACAAAAGACAAAATAAATATTTAATTAATTGAATAGAAAATAAATAAATAAATAAAAATTTACCTTTTCTGCTACTCCGTCCCTATGCCACTGGTGTGTGCTATATCAAACAAATGTAGGGAATGTTGGATAGAAGATAGGGTTAGGAATTAGAAAAAATGGGCCTTTCAAATGGTTGGGCTGGGCTTAACTATTGGCCTTTTAATTGGCCAAAAAAATTAAATTAATTTGGACCTTTTTTTAATTTATTTTAGATTTAAAATATACCAAATATATTATACTAACTTATAATAAGAAGGAGCCTTATTTTGGGCCTATTTTGAGTGGCCCTAAGCCATGGCTTTGTGGGCCTACGGCCAGGGCCGGGCCTGCTCACGAGTCGCATGCACATTTATTGATACGAGTCTCATTGCAGATAGATTTAAGGTTTGTTTAGAATGAATTAAATAAGTGTATTTTTTAATTTTTTATAAAAAAAATGTGTAAAAAAATAAAGAGAGATAAAATGTGATATAAAAAAGATAAAAAGTATACTATAGTATCCTTCAAATACCCTTTTATTTAGTGATGAATTTCAGGGTGAGGATGTGTTGAGATTAGGTTAGTTCGGGTTTGAGTTTGGATTTACAGATATAACTTCACTTTTTCAGGAAC